AGGCGCCGGGCGGGGGGAGGCGCCATGGGCGCCCCGGGCAGCGGAGCCTGTTTTTCTATAACGTGAAAAATTACAGGTTGTTTTAAATTCACTTTTGGTTGCGTGTGAAGAACATACAAAGTTGTTTTTCTGATGATCGAAAGAATGGCAGTTGGGTGTGCCCAGCAGGCAGTGTTCCCTTGAGGTCCTTGGCACCTCTTGTTATTTTTATGCACTGGAAGGTCGGTGCTGCTGAATTTGAGAGTGCGAAGTTCAGGTTTGCCTTTCATTTTTTGCATTGATGTTCTTTATGTTTTTATCTGCATACGTTTATCCAAATAAAAACCAAATGTCCTGTGAGCTCCTAGCGAAGGGGGTTCGCAGCAAGCAGGGAGGAGGTTCACACGGTGCTGAGGGGAGGGCAGGGGCTGCCCTGGAAGCTGTTAGACATTGCCCAGACCCTGCGGCTGGTGAGGCCTTGGGGTCTGAAACTGCCGTGGAGAACGCAGGCAAATCCTTAAAGTGAATTCAGTAAAAACAAAAAGGTAATGCAAAAAAAACAAAAAAAAAACAGTCTAGATGGCCAAAAAGAGAGAGGTATATATGGAATTGGTAAGACCTGATTACACAAATCAGAAATGGCAAAAGAAAAAAGGTGTCCAATCAAGCAGGAGCCAGAGGCTACTCAGCTAAGCAGAGCCGAGGGCTAGATGAATTGCCTGGAGAATCATCAAGGACAGCCAATGGAAACATCACTTTGAGGGAAAAATGCTCTCTCCTTTTCTTATACCTTCTCTCTTTCCATGGTCTGAAAAGTCTTTGACACTTCTTTTCTCTTGAAAAACAATGCACTTGAGTGATTTATAGCTAGTACGACGACTAAACGTGTTTTATTTTTTATCATTTCTGCAGATGGAAGCCAAACCAAAATGTTTTCAAGTTGGTGACCGCTTCCAGCTATATTTGAAATACTCTATAAGTGGAGCTTGGCTTCTAACCCAGTTAAAACCAATGTGAGGCTGCTAATGGTAAAGTAAGAGCCTTTTCTTTCCTTTAGTACTCAGGGTAGCTGGCAACTGGGAATCATCCTGTTAATAGCTCATGTAATGAAAATATCTACATTTCGTATCTTTGCTGTTTCCTCATGCCCATTACAATGGCATGCAGACACTTGAAGTGTATTTTTCTTTCTCATCTGAGTGGTTAAAATGAAAGGTAAGACTTGATTCTGAAAAAAATAATAGCTGGTTTGCAATGTATGCAATTCTTGTGACTTCAGTTGCATTGCTCCAGATCTATGCTACCGTCTGGAGCTTCTAGTTTAAAAACAGTACGCAGAAAAGTTGGCCTTGGTCTCAAAACTACACCAATGGGTGCTGTATGAATAAGGAACAATTAGTGTATAAAACTTATCTAAAGCAAGTAAACTGCAAATTGTAGTCTTAATCTTCACGTGTTTGTTGAGAAGCACTTGTTTCAGTAGCAGCTTATAGAAACCAGTTTACTATGCAGATTTATTCTTATTTTTATCTTGTTGTTGACGTGTGATCTTTCTATGATAAATTGGTAAGTGATAAATGGTGATAAATAGGAGCGTTTTCTTGTCTTTTAGGATAATACATTTGAGACCGTGCTTAATGGCCTCCAGTGGAGTTCCTCCAATGTTTGAATTGATCAAATTTTCATATTTTTACTAACCCTAATGTGAGAAGTAGGCATGAACTAGTGAAATCTGTTGAGAAAATCTGTATTATGGGCTTACTCAGCAAAATACTGCAGTTTTATTATAATAAGATGATGTATCTTGAAGCCGAGTTGCTTCTGGAGTTTGAGGTAAATGATAGTAATTGGTCATACACCCATTTTCCGTGAGCTTTATGTAAGTTAAGGAGAGGAGGATCCTACTGTTGCAAGGGTTTTTCATCAAGCAAATGGAACAAGCTGTGGTATGTTTCCAAATAGATCTAATACTACTTATCCTGGAAATTAGGTTTGTAAAGAGGCCCCTTTGCCTGAAGGAGCAGGCAAAATGTTGGCAGATAGTTTACAGAGCAGAGTGAAAGCAGTGCACTGTTAAAGCTATAAACTCTGCTAATCTTTAACATGCAGATCCCTTTTGCCATCATTAATTTGTGTTGGGTACCTTCATCCCAAATCTCATATAAAATATTCCAGAAATCACAATATTTTTTTTTAATACCAGAAACAGTGAAAATACAGCATACATATCACCTCTGAATTTAAAATAACATATTTAAGTTCAGAATAACAATACTTTTGAACAGAAAGTCATCTCATGTTATGCGTATAAGCTCTCCATACTGGTTTGTGTTTGGTTTATGTGGCAGTGAAGGTTCTTGAGGGATGTTCTCAAGGAGGTGATTCCCTATTACTGCAGAGAGCTGCAGGAAAAAGGCTGCAAGCTAGGAGGAAGGTCTGAGGGGAACAGCAGAAGGGGAAGAGAGAGAAAATTGCTGACTACATTGTTAAAAGGAAAGTTACCTTGATCCCGTGGTCGTTCAAAAAAAAAAAAAAAAGGCTTGTCTTAATAATCCTGCACAAAGGCAAGTCACCGGAAAGGGTGAGTGCGCAGTAGGATGTCCCAGGACTGTGAGCTTTAAGGTACTTGCAAGTGCAGGATGGCGTTTGTGCAGCAATGTGCAGCAGGGGCTGCGTGGGGACAGGCACCCCGCACCGGCGCTGGAGCCACCGTCACTGCGCTCGGGTTGCTGATGCTGTCACTGTGTCTGCGTTGGGAAACTGGATGTGCCACGTTATCGTTTAAACTCTTCAGAGAGCTTTCCAATTAAGATTTGTTTTTCTGTTTTCTTCCTTATGTCTTCATAGAAATGAGTGAATTCGTACCGGTACACTGACTTCATTCTCAGTTAGAAAGTCCCTCAATGTTACGTTATATCTTAATTTTCTTTTGCGAGTAGAGAATAAAAAAAGTACTTTTATTAGAATTAAAAGCTAGTTTTATGCTTTACATCATATAGTAAATGGAGGATCACTGAATCACATTTGCAATGCACTTCTGTGCTGGCTTTTTTCAATATGCTTCTTTTTTAGCAGAAGAGGCTATAAATTGGTTTATGGATGTTTATGAGCTCTTCTATGATCCATGTAATGAATGTATAGGATTGAGAAGATTTTTTCAAGGTTTTCATATCTGCATATCTATTTTTTCATATCTTTTAAATAGAACTGCTGGGATTATAAAGCATATATTTACTTGAAGCCATACCTTTCATCTGCTGAAATCTGTGCATGATACCACATGTTTTACTGAGTTCAGGATCCTGTGCTTTTGTGAGTAGACTAAGTTATGAGCTTTGATACACAGTAGGTTTGGAATAACTGGAGTTTAATATTTGGAAAAGCTGGCTGTGGTCTTTGCTTTTCTGTGTGAAGTTGATTGGTCCTTTGCTTTTTTGCTATAATTTATTTAGTTGTTATATTTGTTTCCCTCCCTCCCACCTTTTTTTCCCCTTGGAATTAAAATAAAGGACCTTAATGTCTCTGAAGATTTCAGCCTCCATCTCCTTGTGATTTAATTTCCTTGCAGAGCTTTTTTATAGGAAAGGTATGATCTGGTATAAATTCATTCAGTACTGAGCACTCAAGTCTCTAGTAAGATGCTTTATTTTTTTATTTTTATTTTTAACTTTTGAGTTAATCCT